GATAGCTAGACATAAGATCGTTGGTTCATAATTTTCTTTCTTTGAGATCCTTAAAAATGCTTCTCCATTATTACCTTGCTTTTGAGAAGTCTGATTCCAGCCTAATTTTTTGGCCTTGGAAATTTGGGGCTCATTCTGTTTGTATGCCCTGAGGATTTTTCCTTTATTTTTAAAGGCTAATAGTTTTATTAAGATATTTCTCAGATTTGATTGTTGAGGGTCAGTTTTCCCAGCTTACATGGTGGGCCCTTTTAATTTGTAGATTCAGATCTTCCTTTTTTCCAGCAAGTTTTCTTGTGTAAAAGTTTTAAATATTACTTCTGTCTTAATGCTGTGTTTTTCTTTTTCAGGAGCTCCAGTGCTATGTAATTGGGTTGTCTTTTCTTGTCTTCTGTTTTAACCACTTTCTCTCTGACCACTTCCCCTACTTTCTTTATCTTGCTTTAATTCCCTTGTATTTTTAAAATAATGATTGAATAAAAATAATTTTTATTCAAATTTATTTTTCCTTGGGCATCTTATAATTCAGTCTTTATTTCTAATATGATTTTGCCTTTTTCTTCTCTTTCTGTCAGAGATTTAATCAGCTCTCCTGTTTTTCAGTTCTTTGGCCTATTTTTGTTTTTAGTGTGTGACTTTTTTTTTTAATGTTTGAGAACATTTGATTCAGAGTAATGGATTCTATTAGAATTTCTTGTGTTTTTGTAGTTTGTTTGTTTTTTTTTTTTTTTGGTGGGTATTTTCATCCACTGAAAGTGTCTAGAGTATCATTTTCTGTTTTTATCTTATAATAGTTTATGTAAATGAAGATTGCATGAATCTTTGTATTTAGTGGATAGGGTGGCAGTTTGGGGTGGCTTACACATTCTTAATTCAAAAACACCCTCTTCTGGGGGCCAGTGCTGGAGAGGTTGTGTATCTTTAAGTATTTTAATTTTCTTTTGTCTTGGAAGAGTCTAAATTTCCCCGTGTCGCTTCTTTTTCCCTTTTCCATACTATTCCAACAGGTTCCTTTCTCTTTTTACCCTCTTTTCCTCAGAAGTATTGCCTTTCCAAGATTGCTTCCTCATATCTCGTGTGCCCTGTTAAGTCCCTTTCTTGTAGTCTGCTCTGGTCTACCAAGATTTTTTTATTTGCTTTTCCAGTATTTTGGCGCTTTCAATGGTCTTTCTCTTTCTTGGGGTTCTTAGAGTTCAGTCTTAGGCTTTTCATTCGCCTCTTCTCTCTCCTGTGCATTACCTTCACACCTTGCCTTGCCCTTTGCAAGGGTTAGAGTGAGAGCTTGAGAAATCTCCAGGCTCGAAATTGGTGCTTGTATTTCCTAATTGTAGGTAATTTGAGGTTCATGTTGTTCTCTTCTAGTTATATTGAAGTCATAAAATTTGTGCGGTTTTATTTGTTCTTATTTTTGTTTTACATAGTTTGGGAGATATCAGTGAACACAGTCACCATTATCTTGTCTTCCCAGAAATCTGTTCTGTTTACTTCTTTATTTCCCGTGTCCTCTTTTTACAATGTATTAAAACAGGGACTGTCTTTGTTTATTTACTGCTGTATTTTCAGTGCCTAGTACATAGAAGATGCTCAATAAATAATTATTGAATAACTCTTCTTCAAAATTTGTATGTCTTTTATTCATCTTTCTGTTGAATTAGTAAGACTTGTTTTGACGATTTATATGTCCTGTCATATATAAATGTTAATAATCTAATAGGGCAATAATATATCTTGTAAGAGCTTAAGATGTGAATCAGATATCAGAGATAATTATTCTATAGCTTTGATTTAGATTAAATGATACAGGATCTGGTCCTATTGATGGCGGTAATAATAATTGTTTAATTTTGCTTAAGTTGTTCTAGTGTCGTAGGTCCCATATCTAACAAATACAGAGCATGATCTTTTGCTTACTAGGATTTATACTTTCAGTTACTGCCTTTTAAAGTACTCAAAATAGAATTAGCAAATTCTGGCCTCCAGTGATTTATCAAGGCTGGACCAGGTTTTGAGTGCCCCAAGCACATACCTGTATATCAGTAAAGGAGAAGGGGAAAATAGTAGGACAAAAATGATAATAAACAAACTAATGAATTAGGAGAGACAATAACAGGCAAGAAGGAGAGGGCTGGAAGATAGAGACAGAAGGTAGAACACTGACAAGTGCCACCATCCAGGGCTCCGATTGTCTCATGTTGGCTGGCCCCTGCGTACTGGGTTATCCTGGGATCATATTCTCAGCCTCAAAATAGACCAGCACTGTCAGCATTGTACTAGATCCCTTTTGTTATCTGCCTAATAAAATTCCTCCAATGAGAGAAATGGCTTAGAGTATGAGACTCCTAGAGAGAAGGACACAGTTTTAATAGCTGAGAGAGTTTGGTGTTCTGCTTGCTTCCATTGAAAATGTTTGGATGTTTTCATTGATTGGCAAGGAGAACAAGAAAGCCTTTTATTTTCAAGGCAGGCTTTAGAGGGCAAACTGGGTGGTGCCTGGCAAAGTGGGTGTTTCCTAGTGAATGACATTTGGTCTATTTTCATAGTTGGAAACATTCTACTCTTAAGCTTATTGTTTAAGCACCAAGAACACATGCTGTGCTGTCATGAGTGGAATTTTTACATTTGATCCCAGGGTCTCTTTTCTCCCTCAGTGTTTAGAGCCTCCATGAACTTGGCTTCTGAATTTATAAATATTTTATTGATTTCAGATTCTGCTCTCAGTTTACTTATCTTCATCTTGTGGATTATTCAGAGGAATGAGATTAGAAACATACCTTGTGAAAACATCTAACAGTAAATACTTTAAGATTAAATTGGGATTCCTTAAATTCTGTATTTATAAATCAATATAGTTGCTTTATTTCTTTTTTATATTTTCTCAGGCTCTTGCAACTCATCTGTGGCATCCTTGCTTAAACCTTGCTCTTAATTATTTCTGTCAAAGCACGTGAACATTTATGTTCAGAATCCTGAATAGGTTGTTACTTTTTATATGTCCTCAAGCCATTTCCCAGTTATTTTTCTCAAATAAGTTTAATCTTTACAGGTATTATAAGACAAATTTTGGAAAAAGGTATCCATAATCCCAAAAACCTGAACCAGTTCCTGTTTGCTTTTTGTACATTAATTCCCAGTTTGTCTTCATGCGTACAAATTTTTGCCCCATTGTAGTATCGTTTTTTTCATTTAACATTTACCAAATTGTCTTTCAATAATTAAAAATTAAAACATTTTTCCTCTATCCTGTAGACTTGATAGAATTTTTTTGAGATTTACATTAAAATGATATACTAACATTTGAAACATTTTCTGAGGCTGATTTATATTGTGTTACATCAAAATGTTTTCATTTCCCCATATAATTTGTATATGTGAATGTAATTTGTATCAGTCACTTAATTCCTCTCAGATGTAAAAGTAAGCTTTCCAGAAAAGATATATACACTACTTCCCCCTTATCCCCAATTTTGTTTTATGCGGTTTTAGTTATTTGTAGTCAACTGTGATCTGAAAATATTAAATGGAAAGTTCCAGAAATAAACAATGCATAAATTTTAAATTCTATGCCATTCTGAGTATCATGATGAAATCTTGTGCCGTCCTGTTCTGTCCTGTCTGGGGACATAAGTCACCTTTTTGTTCAGTGTCTTTTATTATAGCATATTGTTATAATTGTTCTATTTCATTATTATTGTTGTTACTATTGTAGTGTGCCTAATTTATAAATTAAACATTATGGTAGGTATGTACATACAGGGAAAAACATGGTATGTATAGAGTTTGGTACTATCACAGTCAGGCATCTTGGGAGTCTTGGAACATGTCCCCTCTCAGATAAGGGAGACTGCTGTAACTTTCAGTTCATTGCTTATCTGAAGAGTTTAGTTAAAGTATAACAGCTGGTTTCTGCTGTTTTTCTCAATTTGGTATTTTATCAAAACTTACTCTATAGCTCATTATGTCATTTCATTTTTTGTTTTTTTATTTTTTATTTTTATTATTATTATTTTTTTAGGTGAGGCAACCCTTGGTTGACCTCACAGATTGCAAGGACCTTGTCAGCTTCCAATCCCTTATTTTTTATTTGTTATGCCTACAGGATCTGGTCTTCCTAGGTGGTCTCCCATCTAAGTACTAACCAGGCCCGACCCTGCTTAGCTTCTGAGATCAGACAGGATCAGGCTTTTTCAGGATGGCATGGCTGTAGTCATTTTATTTTTTAGAATTACTTATTATATCTGTCATGTTTAGAAACATTTTTAGAGCAATGAAAACTTCTAAGTAACCAGAATTCTGTGTTAAAAATTTGTTGTTGCTGTCATGAACATCCTTTTAGTGATTTTTTTGTTTCCTTGATTTCCAGTATGTTGGAATCGTGATTTCCAGTATGTTAGTGTTATAATTCTTAGGTGTATAATTATTATATATCTTCACTACAGTTTTTAGCAGTTGAGCAGTATTCTCTGCTGCATACATTCATTTGCTATTGAGGCAAAACAAAGAATAGTTAAATATTCAGGGGATCCTAAAACCTCATTTTAGAGAGTCATTTTCTTCTTTCAGTCTTTCTTCAGAATTGCCACTAAGTAGAAAAAATTAATTTCCCTCTTTTTCTCTGCTTGCTTTGACCTGTGATTGCTAACAGTTGTGCATTAGGAAAAGTACATGGGCAGAAATAGAACTGAGATATAGATAGTTCTCAAAGTGGGTCTTCAGTTCTCTATCAGTATTTGAGTGCCTAGGGTGTTGCCTGGCACAAAGTAAGCAGTCAGGAAATTTTTGCTGAGTAGATAGATAGATTCATGAACAAGCCAGTCAGTAAAGTCACATGGAATTCTCAGATGGCGAAATCTGAAATCTCCTAAAATTGTTAAGCCGAGGTTCAGAAGCTTTTCCTAATGGTCAAATTGCATTAACGACCACAGTGTTAGTAATAATGAAAGTTATATTGTTTAGTAAGTCATGAACTGACATGCATATATATCACATTTTTGTTTCTAAAGGAAGTAGAAATTCGGAACAAAGACCTGGAGGGACAACTGTCTGACTTAGAGCAACGTCTGGAGAAAAGTCAGAATGAACAAGAAGCTTTTCGCAATAACCTGAAGACACTCTTAGAAATTCTTGATGGAAAAATATTTGAACTAACAGAATTACGAGATAACTTGGCCAAGCTACTAGAATGCAGCTAAGGAAAGTGAAATTTCAGTGCCAATCGATTAAAAAATACACTGTCTCTCTTCATAGGACTGTTTGGGGCTCTGCTTCAAGATTGCACACAAAAAAATTAAATATCACTCCTCCAGGAGGAGGATCTTTTGAAAATTGGAATTGTATATTTCAATGTAAATTTTAGAATCCAGCTTGTAGCTAGGTTGAGGAAAAAAGAGATGAAACACTTGAACTACAAATTACCTCCATGTATATTATTGGCCATAGTTAACTAGAAAATTATAGACACTTAATGCAATCTTTTTTTCCTGATATTAGCCAATGGGAGAATTCACAATGTCTGGGTCACATCCCCTTTTTGTGTTCAACACAGTGAAAGCTATCTGCTTTCTAAATTAATTTATTTATGATATCTAAAGCTGTGTTCTGTGCAAAAACTTAGTGATGAAAGCCCTGTCTTTTGTTGTAATCTAAATAATTTCTCAGGATATTTTTGCACTGCTGAGAAACAGTGCCATTACCAGTTAATTCTTGCCAGGAGTGAGAGAGCGCTGCATCTTTGATTGAAACACACTTACTATAACTGGCTGTATAGTGTTCTTCCCTTTTTTTATACTGGAAGATACATCACTCTGGTGACCACTCTGGTACACTCTGGTGTTCTCTAATCTTGTCTGCTGTATAGTTTACTTTTCCATACTGATTCCATGTATTTATGAGAAGATATTGTCTCCCATTTTATTACACATTTTAAAGCCAACTAATGAAGGCAGCTGAGTCCCTCAGAAATTTTTCTTTTTAAATTTCTAATAAATTTGACACAGTACTGAAACACAGCAGCCCGTCACTGACGGTCTGCTCTAGCAATGTTAAGTATATTTACAGAATATGCAGTTACATTTATTTATATATTTTGCAAGAAATCTTTTCTGAACGATCAATGCATTTCAATTTACAGATAATTATGGTTATTGGGGAACTGTTTATTATTGATCACTTTAAGGTGTATAGCTATTTTAAAGGGGATCCATTTCCATCAAACAGCCAATCAGAGGACTATTGGGATTGGGGCCGTGTGCTCTGTCTGGGGCTTCACGTCAACCACATTTCTAGTCAAACCTCACAAGGCAATATTCTGAACTGTTAAATAGGCATTTCAAAACAGGAATTCAATTCAATAGGCTCTTCTCAGTAAACAGGTTTTAATGTTGTTTTGATGTAATTTTAAAAGACTTTTAGCAAAGATGCTTTTCTTTATTTCTTTCTTTGAAGAAGCTATTTTAAAAGTAAGCCAAGTGCTGTCTAGTCTGCTTATGGAGTAGGAATTGCATTAGAGTCCATATATTCTTGCTGTACAATGCCTGTGATTTTGAGGAGGGTTCTTTTTTAAAGTGTATGCTTGAGTGTCTGACTCTATGGAGTCTACAAAATGCACTGACTTTTTGTTTGTACCCCCAAAAGATTGAATTGTTAAGTACAAAATTAAGCTAATTAATCAATTTGTAACCATTTTTTCACTCACAGCTATTCAACATAGACAGTTTTGTTTTATATATATGTATGTGTATGTATGTAAATACATACATATTAATTTATATTAGAGTGAAAAATAAATGGTTTGTTTCTAAAGTTAGTTTCTAAACTGAGTTTTCAGGTGTCTCTGAAAAGTTTATATCAGACATTTAATCATCATGTATTATATGTGCTAGAACATCACGTAAGTTACCTCCATCTATTTTAGGATACTTTCCTCACCTATGTATTATAGGGAGGATAATTTAGCTACACAAGCTCAGAGCTGAGATAGTTCTCTAATAAATCAGGTAATAAAATTTATTTGATTGATAGAATTTTGAAGTAGATGTGATTTTATCCATCAGTTTCTGAGTAACAAAGAGCACCAGATTTTGATTTAAATAGAGGATTTAACTCTAGGGATCAGGGAATGTAGTTATGAAGAGTTAAAAAAAAAAAGTGTAAGCTGTTGAAATGATAAGTGAATTATTTTAATGACGTATGAAAATATTTTTAAATTTTGACATAGTTGTTATTTAATGGGAAAATAACTCATCAAAATGTCTCCACTTGTATTGATATGTGAGACGTGTGTAATTCAATATATACATATGCCCATATGTATATACAGAAAATTATTTTTAATATTTTCCTACTGATATGAAATTTAAAATTGGAAATTTTGTGAGTTTTTTCCTTGTCCAATAGAGCCTAATTTCTTCTTCTTTTTTTTTTTAATAGTGATTTCACAATTTCTTGAGGGCTGCACCTTTAAATTCCCAGATTGTCATTAGACGTGTATAGTATATGGGATAAGGTGAACACAAGTGCACATATAAATAAAATCTTATTAAGATTATTTTAAACATTAATTTACAATAGGAGAGTATCTAGAATCATCATCTACAAGTCATAATTAGGTTGTGTGCCTACTGTAGTTTTCTTCATTTCTGTATTATATAAATAAAGTTTGAATATTAAAATTTGATTTTCCCAGAGACAAGTATTATATAATGTATCTATATTTAATTAAAACTGTGGTAATATATTTATCAGAAAATAATGTTGGGGACTGTAGCCTGAACATGTGGACTTGAAGTGACAAACAGAAAAGGAGAGCAGAGATTGATCCCGTTGTATATAAGTTATATGACTATGAATTCTTGTACCAAAAAAAAAAAAAAAAGAAAAAAGAAAAAAAAACTGGAAAGAAAAGAAAAACAAAAATACAATTTTTATTTTGAAATACATTTGTTGTTCTCTGGAGAATGTACTTTATCTTTTTTCCTTCACTCTTTTACAGATAATTTTTTAAAAACATTTAAGTAATGGCAGCATTTACTTAAATCTTACAGGTGCTATTGGATTTTGCATTAGTGTGTTATGTTGTGAAATCCTAACTTTGACATAAAAGGTTTTGTAAGTATTTCCCTGCCTGGAAAATTAGTTTTTGTTTCTCAATTGCATGAGCCAATTCCTCTTTCCCTCTCTCTCTCCCTCCCTCCTTCTCTGAGGTCTCTCCCTCCTTCCCTATCCCTCTGTCTTCTCTCTCCGTCTCTCTCTCTATGTCTGTCTCTCTCTCACTTATTGCAGATTTTAAAAAGTTCATGAAGTTGCATCTCTGTTCCTATAGAGCAACTCCAGCACCATCATAGATTTAATGTTTTGCTGTCATTGAACTGTTGGGAAGCAAAGGAAAAATTTACACTTTTTTCCCCAAGTGGAATGAAAAAGGAACACTCAAAATTAAACCACTACCACCTTTTGAAACTCATTTCTTTGTTAAAGATTTAAATTTTGTTAAAATTAAATTTATTCTTTAACATGTGCTACAGTCTTCCATGTTTTTTATTTAACTCTGGAGTATGCAGCTCAACTGTTCTCTCCTTGCAGACCTGATTTTCTGTCAGTTCTGGAATGGGAGGCAGGACAGAGGAAAAGTTTGTTTGGTGGCAGTGTTGTTGTTTTGTCGTGTTTTGTTTGTTTGTTTTGTTTTTTAAAGAAACCTTTTTCTTTAGTTGATATCAGATGATTTTAACATACTGAAATTCTGTGCTTGAAGTTATAAAATGAATTTTTCAATGAAAGTCTTCAATGCATTTTTATCTTCTGGCTATTTAACATTGTTCTTTTATCATTTATGAAGTAAATTAATTTATAAAACTTAAAGAAAAACTTACAGGTAAGAAGTAGTTGAAAATGGTACATTTAAAAATTTTTCTCAAGTAGGTTATCATATTGTAATATTTGTTGAGAAGATAAAATTTCATGTAAGAATATTTTGAAAATTACAAGAAAAGGATCATTTTAGAATGGAAACAGATGCATCATTCGCCTCATTCTGAATTGTGAAAGTGTTTCTAATATTCACGTTAAATTGGACCTTAAATTTTATGACAGTTTTGCTCTATGAGAAACTATATGTAGATGTCACACCAATAGAAGCATAATTATTGAATTAAAGAAATTAATGTCTTTCATTTTTTTTGTTTATATACTACCTAGCAAATTAGCTAACAGTTTTATCTAAGAAAAAAAACTCAATCAGCACTCACTGCCTAAGTGATTTCTGCTTAATGCGCTAGAAAGAAAAGAAACATTCTAAGTGATTTTTACCAAAAACAGGTGACCTAGGGAGAGAAATTACATCTAGACTAGGAAAGGCCACAAGCTCCCAAAAGACTTCTGGTTGATTCTCTGATCTCTTTAAGGACACGTCTGTCCTTTAAAGGACACATCCCAGAAAATACCAGGAGTATATCTGGGTGCAGAGGGTATCTTTTTGTGTAAAAGCAGAGCCAGGAAAAAGAGAAGGAGCATGGTGACCTCGGGTTTTTCTAAGGTACATCAGAATAGCTGGAGACACATAAAATAGTATGTCCTACCTTGCTGCTGCTTTTAACTAAATGAGCTTGGAATTGCCCTGATGAATTTCAAAGGCTTTCATACGATCTTGTCATTTGTTGTCAGAATGTATAACCTAATATAAGACATCTAACATTCAGATCTCACCATTCTATGGGATTCTGACCTATTTGTGAGTTATTTTCATATCAGATCTACCCAGGGACAGAAATATTACTCTGCTTTCTCCTAATACCACCAAATTAAAGTGCTAATGGGTACCTAATAAATGCAAAATTAAGCTCATTTCTGTAGCAGAGAAAAATCTTTTGTGCGTATCTTTTCTATCAACTTATTTTGTTATCTGTGTTTTATAACTTATTATATATGCACTTGTATGGTAAGTCATACATATATGACTTGTGTCTGACTTATTTGATCGTTATACCTTAAGTGGAATGACTTTCAGAAAACATGGCTTGAAAGCAGACGTACTTGAAGTGAGTGCTTTCCTGACAACTTCAGTATGAAATGCAACAGAAAGGAATATTTGTTGAATATCTGCTGTATGACAGGCACTGTACTAACTGTTTGACATTTCATTTCTATATATAGGGGCCCTTCCAGGGGTGTTCCTTTGGAAGGGGGATGGGGGAAGGAAGGGAAGAGGCTCAAATGATTGCACCTGCTGTGTTCCCACAGTCATCAGTTTGGTCATCCAGTACACCAGTCAAAAGGTGGAGATCTTGCTTATGTTTCTAGTAAACTTCTTCCCTCTAGCTTGCCTGCCTTGCGTCTCTAGAACATCTCTGTTAGGGCACTTCTTAATTGTCTATTTTATATTCATTCTTCTTTAACTTCTTCATTCAAGCTTCTTTGGTGATTACAATGCTTGTTGTTATTCAGTCGTAAATTATATTTTGTTTGCAGGTGTCATTTATGCAATGTTTTGGTCTCAATTTTTTTTAACTTACAAGCTTCAGATAATACAAAGAAAGTAGTTTCAAATGCAGAATTCTGTTTATAAAATTTAAGTAGCAAACTATTTATAAAGGCCTTGGGAAGGCAAGTCATCTCTTAATTTCTCTAGTGAAATAAGTTATAAATCTATAAAACTCGCCCCCTAACACTAAACAGTAGTTCAGCAGTATATGGGTTTTACAATTAGTATCGGGTGAGTTTGTGGTCAATTCTGGTTCCATAGAGGTTAAGGCCTTTCCGGAGGCCATTAAATCAATAAGAATCACACAATATTTGCCCTTTTGTATCTGGTTATTTCATTTAGCATAATGTTTTCAAGGTTTATCCATATTGTGGCATATATTGGATTTTCATTTCAACGCTGAATAATTTTTCGTTGTATGGTTATATCACATTGGATTTATCCATTCATCTGTTGATGGCCACTTGGGGTCATTTTTACCTTTTGGCTATTGTGCATAATTCTACAATGAATATTCATATATGAGTATTTGTTTGAGTCCTTGTTTTAATTTCCACCTAGGAGGAAAATTGCAAGATCATGTGGTAATTCTGTTTAACATTTTGAGGAGCCCAAAAGATTTGGTTTGAGTTGGCTTAATTTAAAAGATTCATAGAGCAAAGTGCCATCTGACTGGGAAGTCAACAGTCGTGGGGTTAGTGTTTTAAGAGACCTATAAGTGATCCATTGGCTTCTAATCCACGCTTTTTACTCTCCTAAAACATTTATTGAACACGTTATGTCCCAGGACCTATTTCGGAACAGAGACAAGAGAGAAGCTCACAATTTAGTGCAGGACGGTTACTTTACAGTGCGAACATGCTGTGATAAGGAGAGCACGCGCACGAGCGAACCCAGGGGAGAGAGGAGCAGAGGAGTCTTTCTCAGAAGGCATAGTAGCTGACTGTGAATCTTTACGTAGGAGTAGGCGATGGGGCGAAAGAGAGTGCAGAGAGTGTAATGGAGTAGTCAAAGAGCAAATCAGGAAGGACTCTAAGTCACAAGAAAATTTGGATTT